AAGTACCAAAAAATGATTTGTTAGATGAACCTATCATATTAACTTTAACATTTATAATATGAGATTTTAATAGCTCAATTAATTGACTACTTGAATTTCTATTTTATTAATGAAAGTTTGATTTTTTTTATTTTTACCCCCCTAATGTAATTTAAAAGGAAAACGTTTATATCATTTGATGTTGCAAAAGATAGATGGATATTTGGTGGCCACATAAAATAGAGCAATCAAAAAAGAGCATTAACATTAACGTCAGGCGGATTCAACGATGTGGGAATTCCTAGTTTGTCTGGTTCAACTTTATTAACCACACACACCAAATTGCATCACATATGTTTATTTATTTATTTTATTAAAATTTTGATAATGAATTATTGGTTTAGCGATATTGATAATAATTTTGAGTTCCTTTTATATCGAGTTAACGATTATTAACGATTTGAGATTTTTCTTAACAGTTAACTTATAACTCGATAGTAGAATTAATAAATTATATTTATATCATTTGGTATATAAAATCTTTGATTATACTACAGGATATCAGTGTTTGGTTTTGAGCATGATGCAATATGTCAATTCATGTTCATGGTTTATTAGGTTTGTCATTTTAAAGTGATTTTCAATGATTTTTTTGTGAATCGATAGCTTAATAATTATATAATGATTTAGTGTGTCTTCAAATGGATAGTCAATACTTAAAATTAATAAACTTTAAAATCGAACTACCTAAATCCCTATGAACCAACATTTTTCAACTTGAAACATTATGATAGTCCTCTCTTAATTAGCCTTAATTTTTGTCCACCTTAGCAACTTGAATTTCACATGATCCATAAAATTAGCTAGAATCTCGTTAAATTTTTATTATTATTTAATTTCTTTTTCAATATATATATATATATATATATATATTGCATGACTGAGAATTTTAGATTGGTTGTAGTCTTGTTGAAGAAGATAATTAACAAAAACAACAGATATGACTTAAGGTTGATGACAATTGAGTAGAAGCATAACTCAAGGAAAATGACCACTTCTCTTTGGGGAATTTCTTATTTTTATTTTTTTTTGCAGTAGACACAACTTTAATCTATTCAAAACTATGACATTTTTGTTTCCTCCAAGGATATTTTCTCAACAACTTTTAACATATTGTCTTGCCAAAATTTCTCACATTGTAAAATTCCAAAGTGGTTAGCAACAAATTAGAATTTTTTTGTTTGCACCATCCAAAGTTGCGGTGGAGTAAGAAATATCCTCCATTTTCTGTTAGAAGTTTTACATTTGAGTTTTGAATATAGAGTTGTCTTGTGTATATAACACTTTATCTAAAAAAAAAAAATGAAACTTTCATACATGAATTTAAATTAGTCAGACTCTAAAATGAATATCAAACATCGAACGAAAAAAAAAAAAAAAAGGAATGTAGGAATACTTTGACATGTCAAATATGTCAATTTCCGGAAGAATTAGTTTTATAAGCCATTTTCAATTTTTAAAAATTTTTTATGATATTTTTATAAACAAATATTCATTTTTATACCTAAAAATCTGAAAGATTCATTTTCTTCTATCCAAGTGGTCAAGAGAACTCATTTGCTACGATGAATAATTCATTTAGCTTCATTGCCTTCGCTATAACGAAGCCTTCCTTCACTATAGAGAAATGTTAATTTGATTGGCCAAATAAATGGTTTGTCATCATCATTAATGTCCAAATTATACGAATTATACGATGTGAAAAATCATGGTTTTATATGTGGATGCAGTTTCAAACGTATACAGTATTTTGTATTATTTTGGTCATGAAGATAATATTTGTGATCAGTGGCAGAGCCACCTTATGGATAGGGGTTCATTCGAACCTCCTTTAGTGGAAAATTATATTATTTATGCATGGTTAAAATAATCTTTTAAGTATATATAATAAATGTTGAGCATCCTTCGACTATTTCATGTGTTTATTTTTTCAGATTTTGAACCCGTTATTAAAAATCCTGACTCCGCCACGATTTGTAATTAATTGCATGGACTCCAATTATACAACATTACATCTTCCACCCAACCTGGGCAGTCTACCCTACCCCCAAAATTGTATGGCCTGTGTTGTTCACATACCATTATATGTTACTTTTAATAATTAATATTGTTTTACTACTTGTTAATTATTTATTAAAGAACATTATTTTAATTAATTATAGGGAAAATGGTAAAAGAAGTTCTTAAATTATATGATATGAACAAAAAATGTCCCTCGTTTATGGTTTGATCCAAAAATGCCTTTGTCATTAATATTTTGGTCTAAAAATGCCCATTTTCCAAATAAATATATTTTATTTTCTTTTTAACATATTCTTTTTCTAATACTATATTTTTTTAAAATTAGCAAATATTTATCCTACTTCAATTCAGAAAAAACTAAAAATAAAAAATATTTTTTATTATTATAATTATTTTTTATCTTTATAAAAATAAAAATTAATGATGGATATACTATGATCTTATATATATTATCCTTCAAAAGGTATATGAAGTTATTCTATTTTAATTGATAAAATGAGATTAAGAAGAAAAAAAATTTATTTCCTACATTTTTATTTGTTAAAGTGATTTTAAAAGGAAGAAAACAAGAATAGGAGTCTTTAATAGTATTTTAATTAGGAAGAAAATGTTCTTTAAAAGAAAAGAAATATAATATTTATTCAGAAAAAAGATATTTTTAACCCATTTAGTAACTATAGGGGCGTTTCTTGATCAAAGTGACTTTTAGTTCACAACTTCACATTATACAAAACATCAAAATCTAAAGTAAGAATCTTATTACTCTTAATTTCTCTTTGTGTTACACTTGTATAGTTTTTTTCATTACATTATTGTGTTATCGCGTCAAATTTATTAGAGAAGTCATATATTTATTTTATAAGTATTTTCTTATTGGTTAAACCGAAAATCAAACCGTTAAGGATCAAACCGATAAAAAATCTCTTATTGATTTAATATATTTAAAAATCGAAAATCGAATCGATAATACATAAAACCGAACTGACCGATGCACACCCCTAATATTAACTACAAAGGCATTTTTGAATCAAAAAATTGACGATAAGAATATTTTAAAGCCAAACTATAAACAAAAGACACTTTTATTCATTTCACATAGTTTAAGGACATTTTTTGATTATTTTTTCTTAATTATATAATATAACAAGTACTAGGAAGTTTAAAAAGAAAAATTCCTTGTTGTGTTGTTGAAGGAATGAGAACAAAATCCCTAAGGCAGAAATAGACATGACTTGCATCCATGTTAGGGCAAGTGGTCTCTAACGTGTAGCTAAAACACTTTCGTCCTAATCTATGTGGCATCGTACTTTCTTTGTACATAATTTGCGTTTTTAAAAATTAATTTGATTAATTTTCAAAATTAATTAAATTATATTAATTCGATATTTTAAATTAAAAATTTAGATATTCAAAAACTATACAAAAAATAATATAAATTGTAATTTTTTGCATTTCAATATGATGAAATAATATATCATAAAATATTAGTCAAAATTCTTATAGCTTGATTCTAAAAAAGGAAAGTATGATAATTAAAAGTAGACCGAGAAAGTATAATTTAACATTAATTGGTACGAAAAAAGTATTTTTCCTAGCTAGTTTATTACTAGATGCAAATCACAAAATCTTTTGCAAAACATTGACAATTCATATGTCAGATTTCCACAGGGATGCACAAACAGATCCTTGCCAGCATCACTTTCTTATTTTTTTCCAACCAATGGTTCTCATGATGTTTTTAAAATTAATTAATTCAAAATAATGACACATTTTAAAAAAAATATTATTGTAATGAAATCTTTTTATAGTCAGACAATAAAATAAATAAAAATTATAATTATACAAATATTATGATATATTTTTATTTTTTTTATATTAAATTATGTCAAATCAAACTAGATAAATATGTAGTAAAGGGAATAATATTCTCTTGGATTGTCAGTCAACGTAGAAGAAATTCATAGGTATATATATCGTGCCCTCTTGAGTTTGATTAAAAATTAATTTAAATGTCTAACCTACAAAACTTGTCTAAATATTTTATTACGCTTAAGACAACAGGGAGGAATTAGAAGCAAACATAATTCAACAAACTAAAATTATAACTAAATTTTTCATAAAACAATAAATATTTTCTAGTTGGAAAATTACAATCATTAACTTTAATTAAAATCTATGTTAAGGACTTAAGGTAATATGTTAAAAGATGATTAATATTTGGATTGCGTAAGTGTTAAAAGAGAAAAATCCTAAGTAATTTGGATTGAATAGGGAACTTAAATAATACTCCCTCTCCTTCTATTTTTTTATTTATTAATATTATAAATTCTAAATTAAAATTATGTCAAATATATTAAAAATGTCCTTTAATTTTATGATCTAAAACATGCTACATGAAAAACTGAAACTAACGTGGTGCCAAAAAAAAAGTCATTCTTTTCAAATAGACTAAAAAGGAAAATAAATCATTCCTTTTTAAATAGTCTCACATATTATATAATTTTTAACAAAAAAGGAAAATTAATAATCTAAATATCGAATTTTAATAAAACGCCTCAACTCATTTTTATATAACACACCAAAAAAGTGCTTTATAAATAGAAAAGTAATTTCTTTTACATTTCATCCATCTCAATTAATATGAATTAGTTTAACTTTACACTAATTTTTTTTAAAAATAAGTTATAAATACATATGCAGCTAATTTTTTCTTTTATTGACATGAACTAAATAAATAAATTATATAAATTAAAATAAAATAAATATTCTAGTTGGGTTCATTTGGAGGCAGGGTTACCAACATAGATTATTATGTGTGAAAGTGTTTCCTTCCTAGAGAGATCTCAAGTCCAAATTCTGATAAAAGAAAATCTTGTTGGGAGCGTGTCCGAAAAAGGGGTAAATGGTGTAATAGGAAAAAGTTGAACAGTGAAAAAAGAAAAGTGGTAATTTGGTTGCTACAAAATGCCCTGATCAATTGCAGAGTTGTGAGGACAAGTAGAGGAGAGAAGAAGATAAAGAGTAGAACTTCAGCAGATCTATCACAAACAGTCTCTTCTCTCTCACTCTGCTCAAAACTCAGCCATGTTCTCCTTGAATGGCACCAGTTTTACGGTAATACCAGTACCCCATTTCTTAAATCTCTGTTTTGATTGTTCACAGTCAGATGAAATGAAGAAGAAGAAGAAGGAGAAATTGTCTTGATTGATTGTTAATTCTTTGATTCGGATTGAGTTTTTGACGACACCCATTTTCATAGATTGAGCTGAAAGTTGTTAATTTTGAGTGATAGAGATAGGACAAGGAAAAAGGAACAACACCCAGATTCCTTTTTCCACTGAAAATGGAAAAAAAATGAAACTTTCTGTGATTCATGAACATTCAGATTGATTTAGACATACCCATATTTAAAATTGAGTTGAAAGTTGTTGATTACTGTTTTTGTTCACTTGTGGACAATTTTTCATTTTCTATACTTTATTAATTGTGATTGTTTTGTTGTAATTTACAGAACAATTCGTTATCTGGGGTTTCAAGATGTTTGACTCAGTCAAGCAGAAGAGTTTCAGCTCCTATGGTGGTGGTAGCCGCCGTGAGTTCAAACGGAAAACCTGGAGATGGAAGTGTTAGTGTATTGGTGGAGAATGCTTTGACGGAAAGTGCTGCACCGGTTGAGATGGAGGTTAAATCTACTGTCACTGGTGGAGTTCAAGATGTTTATGGTGAGGATAGTGCCACAGAAGATCAATCCATCACACCTTGGACCTTATCTGTTGCTAGGTGAAAAGTTACTTCTTTTGAATTTGAATCTATAATTCCTATGCTTTCTGTTCCCAGATGGGGGTTAAGTTTAAGATTTAGATGGGTTTTGATTAATTTAATTAAGGACCGGGAAGGCCGAACCACAAGAGTCTATTGTATGCGAAGGCTGTTTTCATGGCTTGAACCTGTGACCTCCGAGATGGATGTTCATGTCATTCCAACTAAATGGGGTTATCTAGTTTTAGAGGCTCTTGTATTCTGGCTTTTTTTGTATAATTAAAAAAAGAAAGAAATTGAGCTTTCATCACAGCTAGACTAGTAACCTTGTGTCTACATATGCATGATCTGATTATATAGAAGTTTTGTTAATATCAAATAAAGGCACTTGCTTTTTTTCTATTTCTTTTACAATTAAATTATAATCTTTTGTCCCCACTTAAGAGCTATTGGGATTTGTCTTTTTGGTAAACCAAGGGTGGACATATTTTGTGTTAGTCACTGTTATCTTTACTCACCTATAATTTACATTATAGATACTGTTTCCTAAGTATGATGCCTCTATGCTCCAACAGTCACCAAGGGTACAACAACAACATACTCAGTGAGGTCGCACAAGTGGGGTCCGGGGAGGGTAGAGTGTACCACGAGACACTGTTTCCGAAGAGCGATCCCAGGAATTTGGGGCTAGTTCTATAAGCCTTGTTGTGGATTGAGTTTTCCATTTTAAGTTAGAGTATTTATTGTTTGATGAAGTAAGTGATTTCAATAAAAAGCATCAAGAATTTAAGATGATGCAACAATTATAAGATATGAGCATTTAGTTCGAGTATATTATATGTTTATATCTTAATCTATTGAAGTTGTTAGTTGCTGATTGAGCCTTCTTGAGATATCATAAACACAGGTTGCTCTTGATATACGTTCTGCATTAAGTTCGAATTAATACGTACTGCTCTTGAGCCTTCTTGAGATATCATAAATGCAGTTGCTCTAAGTACTTTTTTTAGAAGGGCTGAACTCCCATGTCGTTGTTTTTCTTACAAAGATTATCTCTTTTCAGCATTCATTTAACAATTCCTTCTTCCATGTTAATGAAATAGGTTCAAGCATTAGTCTGACACTTGACTATCTCAGAAGTTGTCTTTACTTACGCGCACTGAAACATACTGTGTTCTTTTGCTTGCAGTGGTTTCTCATTGTTGCGTAACCCACACTACAATAAAGGCCTTGCTTTCTCTGAGAGAGAGAGAGACACCCACTATTTGTGTGGTCTTCTTCCTCCTGTCGTAATTAGTCATGACCTTCAGGTTGTATATTCTGCATTTTACAGATCCTACAGTTTCCGTGTCTCTCTTTATCTGATCTGATGAAACTCAATAACAACATTGTTGTGCTACTCGTTGTCACAGGTCAAGAAAATGATGAACAGCATCCGTAAGTATGATGTACCACTTCAAAGATACATGGCCATGATGGATCTTCAGGTAGTAAACAAAATGATTTTAAGGTTCTAAATACTTTCTGCAATTAAGGTTTTTTTTTTTGCGTCAAGCTCCTTTATGTTATACTAAATTGAGCAGAACACAGATGATTAGTGTATAATAATCTTTCAAGTGTGGTGACACTGGGAAATGTAAAACCATTTGTTTGTTCAGCTCAAGTCCAGAAGTCCTGCACGTGTATGCCCGCCTTTAGTTGCTTCATAATACTCTTGTTTATTGTTGTATGAATCATGGTGCAGGAAATGAATGAGCGGCTATTCTACAAGCTTCTTATTGACAATGTTGAGGAGCTTCTTCCAATAGTTTACACTCCAACTGTTGGTGAAGCATGCCAGAAATATGGTAGCATCTTCAGGCGTCCTCAAGGTCTTTTTATCAGCTTGAAAGAAAAGTAAGCTTTTGAATGCACTATATAGCTTCTCAAATTAAAGGCTTGACATTTCTTATTTCTTGTTAAAACTAATATGTGCTAGCTTTTTGCAGAGGCAAAATTCATGAGGTACTAAAAAATTGGCCCGAGAAGAAAATTCAAGTTATTGTTGTTACTGATGGAGAACGAATTCTGGGCCTTGGGGACCTTGGTTGCCAGGTATATTGTGTATTGATTTGGTTGAAGTTCCTTAATTCTATTTTCAGGACAAATAAATCCTCCGTCAGTTTAACTATTGGTTCCAGTTCATTTTTGGACCTATATGTATCTTTTTCCATAATGTATTTCTTTGTCATTGTTAACATATTATAACAGTCATTACGTTTTACCAGGGAATGGGGATACCAGTGGGCAAGCTCTCTTTATACACTGCTCTGGGTGGCATTCGCCCTTCAGCTGTAAGTTTCTCTTTATAACAGTAGTTGGAATTTAGATGATACTACTGTATCCACAAATGCTTTATTCCACAAACACTACTGTATCTATATGGAGTTCTGGGATTTCACTTTTATCACTCTCTCCAGTAACACCTTGTCATAGACTCATATTATGTGGTTCGTTGTGTAAGTTTGTGAATTCCTTCTGATTGATGTTTGCCAAATGAAGCTGTAATTTGAGCATAAATGTTTTTAACTTGACAGTCTGAGCGGTATCTGACAGTTTCCCGGACGTCACCTTTCGTAGTCTCCTGTTATAGTTTACTCTGTTGTATATGCTATGAGCACACAGAGCTAAAATATCATATATTTCCTATCTTCCAATTTGTGTGGCACTATTAATACTTGAAGAGTGAACATCTGTTTCCTTGTCTAAATGTTTGGCGAGTTTCTAAAAATGTACATTTTCAAAACTTTAAGGACTCTCGTACTCCAACTCTACCATTCATTGGGATGGTGGGAGTACTAGGTTTATCAGTCATATAACCTTATCTGTTTGGTCTTTGCTTTTTCTGTCTATCAGTTGAAAGCCTGATTATCCTCTCTTTCTTTTCAGTGTTTGCCCGTTACCATTGATGTGGGTACAAACAATGAAAATTTGTTGAACGATGAATTCTACATTGGACTCAGGCAAAGAAGAGCTACCGGACAGGTTCACAAACTTGATATCTGATCATGCTTACTTTACCTTGTATTTATAGAAGATGTAATATTTCCTTAATGTTCTTTGTTTGATCCTCTTTTCCATTCTCAGGAATATGCCGAACTCTTAGATGAATTTATGTATGCCGTCAAGCAGAATTATGGGGAGAAAGTGCTCATTCAGGTAGATATTTTCTGGAAAAATTGCAGATAAGTGCACTTAAACATTATACTTGATAATCTGACTTTATTTATTGACATCTTTAGTTTGAAGACTTTGCAAATCATAATGCATTTGACCTCCTTGCAAAGTATGGAACTAGCCACCTTGTTTTCAATGATGACATACAGGTAAGTCAAGGACTCCTTAATTTGTTATTGTTCTCTTTTCACGGGTGCTTGGAGTAGGAAGTGGATGTTTTCTGTTTGTTACACAAATTCTTTAGCAAACTGCAAACATATTATCTTGTTTTTGTTCCAGGGGACAGCATCAGTGGTCCTTGCTGGGCTGATGGCCGCATTAAATTTGGTTGGAGGAAGCTTGTCTGAACATACATTCTTATTCCTTGGAGCAGGAGAGGTACATCTATTACTTATACTGCTGACTTGCACTTTGAACTGTGACCTTTCTTTTGCCATTATTTCCTAGAAATAACATGTCTTACTGGAATACTGAAAATTTGATCGTCACAAAGTATCGTGTACTGTAAGACCAAAATGGGATTCTGTTTAAAGTTGCTCTGTGTGTTCCTTGCTCTTAAGATTTTAGCTATTATTCAACAGCTGCTTGTATTTCTTCTGATTTGATCACCCTTTCTGCCTCAATCAATTGATCATTTTGTATCCCATTCACCTTGTTGTCAATGCAGGCTGGCACAGGTATAGCTGAACTCATAGCTCTTGAGATGTCAAAACAGGTTTGGACTTAAATAGAACAATTGTCTTTTTTTAAGTTAGCTCTTTCCATTCTAGTTTCAGCTACATCTAATATGAAGATATTTTACAAGCCTTTATACTTTACTCTTTCTTGTGCAGACTGGAATCCCTCTAGAAGAGACTCGCAAGAAAATTTGGATGGTGGATTCTAAGGTATTAAATTTCCTTCATCAGACTTGTTATTTATTTTCATCATTTTCCTCACTTTGTATGCAATTGAAGCATCCATATGTCCTTCTCTCTCCAGGGGCTGATTGTTAAGTCTCGCATGGAGATGCTTCAACATTTTAAGAGGCCCTGGGCACATGACCACGAACCAGTACAAGAACTAGTGAATGCTGTGAAGGTGGTACCTCTATTTTTTCCTCCTCTACCCCAAAACTCCCCTCCCGCCTCTCACCCTCCCTCTCACAATTCTCGTATTGTGTCAGTCAATTAAGCCTACGGTCTTGATTGGATCTTCTGGAGCTGGGAGAACGTTTACTAAAGAAGTTGTACAAGCTATGGCAACCTTCAATGAGGTAAGATAATGAAGCCCTACTTGGATAGGAAAAGCTACTTTCTGTAGTTCAACCAGTTTGTGTAGTTAACATGTAACACAATAAACTGATGGTTTCTTTTTCCTTCAATTTTATGTCATGCAGAAACCAATTATTTTTGCCCTCTCCAATCCAACATCACAGTCTGAATGTACTGCTGAGGAGGCCTATAGCTGGAGTGAGGTGAGATACTGTTTACTTTTCATGTTTGAAGTCAGTCTCTTACACAGTCAATATTTGTCTCTCCGTGTAATTTTCTTATCATGTCTCCTTCAGGGGCGAGCCATTTTTGCTAGTGGGAGTCCATTTGCTCCAGTTGAGTACAACGGGAAGGTCTATGCGTCTGGCCAGGTCAGAGATTTCAAACCCTTAGCTATTTTCCATTATCATCATTTTTTCTTTTGGTAAATCTCTTTACATTATCAGTACTTATGCAAGATCCATACTAAACTTCTCTCTTTTCCTTGTCTAGGCAAATAATGCATATATTTTCCCTGGGTTTGGTCTAGGACTGATAATTTCTGGTGCAATTCGCGTCCACGATGACATGCTCCTCGTAGCTTGTAAGTTGTGGAATTTGTTGTAGTTCAATATTACCCCCTCCCTTTTTGAAATAAATACGTAAATGAGGGAAGAGAGCAACAGGAAAAGGGAAAATACTGACAAGCTTACGTACAATCGTTGTTTTCTTTTTAGAGGAGTGGAATGGTGAGTTGTCCTTATTTCTGGATGAAAACTCTATGCCATATGTCACTGATATAATTTGCCATAAACAACATCTTTCCAGCCTTTCTCCTTAGGTGTGGTAAAAGATTTGACAGCCATTACTTATTAAAAGAAAGGATTTTGACAGCCAATCTATGTTGTGTGGACTCTTCATTTTAGCCACCGCATCTGGTCGACACATGGTACTGGTAACGGTGTGGTCAATCGAGATCGGGTACTTTGACCACAATCCATGACAAAATTTGAAGGAAAAATGGGAAATGAAAGGTCGAATTTTAGGTGCTGCCTGCTAATGCCTACTACTTGGGGAATTGTCAAAATGAAAGATTGAATTTTGGCTACATCCCATCTATGTCGCTTGGACTCTTCTAAAATGTCAATGGGTGCATTTTGAATTCTTCAAAAGTTTATTTTTGGAGAATCGCGGCATCGAAAGTGAAAGAGTCTGCGCAACTTAGCATTCCACAACATTTAAGGTTTTTTTATAGATCTTTTTAGAATTTTGAATTATTTTAGCGGAATTCCCCCACCCGTATTCGTAAGCCTGAATTTTAAAATTTTGTATTAGGAAGGATCAGACCTCTAGTCTAGATGACACCTGGATCGGATACCCACACCAGAGTTCGAGGAACATAGTAACCAATAGCACCCAAGGGTGTAGCCTAGAGGTTAGAGGTTAATGAAGTAGGTGCAAACCTTGGAGATTAGTGTTCAGCCAACAGATTGTCCATGGAATTGCAAACCTTGGAGATTAGTGTTCAGCCAACAGATTGTCCATGGAATTGCAAAAATAGGTTCACCTTTGCTGTTTGATTCTATGAAATTGCTCATCTGTCTAGGTCTCTGGGATTTACATGTTTCCATGAGCTAGCTGTTAGTTGCGAACCTCTGCTTTTAAGTTCATACTTAAAAAAGGTTGAATAATAAGATAAACACTATGAAGGAAGATTTTGCAATCAAATTACAAGGTCATAGTTAGCTAGTAGTCCAGAACATGCTTCCTATGCAGTCAAACATGGACCACGTAATCAAACACGACACCTCTAGCAAGCTTCATTTATCCTTAAGTTTGGAGGGACAGACCACAACAAGCTTTCAGATGTTGTTCTGAAGAGTACCATTTCAGTTGTTTAAATTTCTCACTTCCGAGTTTGGTGCACAGATAAAAACAGTTTTTACACTTTTATGAAGTGGCTTCATTTCCTTTGTAATACTGCAGTTCCTTCTAGCCAATTTTTATATCTTGCAAACAACTTCACTACCCGACTCAGACGGCCACACGAAAAAATATAAGCGAGAATTCATTGTCATCTTACTTGTGGAAGATGACTATTCTTTTTAGTTTTTTATGCTTCATAAGGTCTTACTTTTATCTCCAATTGTGCTCTTTGAAACAGCGGAAGCTTTAGCGGAGCAAGTTTCTCAAGAGAACTTCGAAAAGGGACTCATATACCCCCCATTTTCCAACATAAGAAAGATTTCAGCGCATATTGCTGCCAAAGTGGCAGCTAAAGCATATGAATTAGGTATGTTTCTCCTCTGGAAAGAAGATTCACATGCCTAACACATATTTCTTAAACTCTGTCCATTTTGTTGCTTAATAGGTTTGGCCACTCGTCTACCGCAGCCCAAGGACCTAGTCGCATATGCAGAGAGCTGCATGTACAGCCCCGCATACCGCAGCTATCGTTGAGTCAGAGAAGATATTGTTGCTTCAAAATTAGTCATTGTTCCTTCCAGTGTTAGTTAGTTATTGATGTCATTCCTTTCTCTTTTTAGTTCGTTTGCTCTTAAAATTTATGTTCGATCCTGCTAGTAATATACAGGCGACTGAAAAGAAAATATGGTAGCTTGCAGATATGGTGTACTCGTGAAATATTTGATTACGTTAAGACTTAAATGTAGGGAACTTTGCAGCATAAAATCTTAGTGAGCCTCATTGATTTTGTTAATTATGAACACAACTGTCTCAGGGTGATTATATAGAATGTCAAAAGCCTTGTATCATTTGTTGGTCGTTTCTTGCTGTTTCGTTCCTCTGTTCGAGCTGTTTGTTTTGAGTTTCTTTACTACTTGTCATTCGTGTGCTTGTTATTGTATTGGATCGGTATGTTTACTTCAGGTTTTTATCCCTCGATTGATTCTTGCCTGGAGCTGTATTTTAGACTCCTCACTTGTTATAATGTAAACCTTGAATAGTTTTGTTTATTAGCTTTAGTGGTTCTGGTGTTAGATGGTAGACTACGGTCATGTTCTGGGGAAGGGTTGGGGCGAGAGGTAGGGGTGGTAAGGGGGTTACAAGAGCTGTGAGCCTAAGAGTAGGTTCTTGGAATATAAGATCGTTAACGGACGAGTCTATTGAGCTAGTGAGAATTCTCAACAAGAGGAGGATTAATATAACTTGTGTTCAGGAAACCGAATAGGTATGAACTAAGGTTCGGGATGTGGATGAGTATAAGTTGTGGTACTCAGAAGGAAAATGGAGTAGACATTCTAGTAGACAGAGAGCTGAAGGAGTAAGTGGTAGAGGTTAGGAGGGTCACCAATAGGATTATGACAGTTAAAGTAGTCATCGGAGGGTTCACTTGAACATTATTAGTGCTTATGTGCCGCAAGTGGGCTTGGACGAGAAGGACAAGAAGGCTTTTGGGAGGATTTATTGTTACATAATATTGTGAAAAAAATAATAAGTAGAAATAAATCAATTAGATAACGTACAATATAACATCTTAATATAACTCATAGATATATAAATACCTAAATGGTAGCAATTGACAGAAAATAAACTTTTCTAAAAGGCAAAAAATAGATTTACCTGGACATTTTGTTGGAGATGAGCAAAATAAAACAAACAAAAAGAGTAGATAATTGTGGAGAAAAAGAAAAATAACCAAATGACTTGACGCTTTGGTGTCTTGTATAATTAAGGTGGAATGTGAAAAATGACAGTTACAAATAATTATTACCTTCATTGATCAATCTAAAATTTAATATTCAACTTACTTGCACTAATTAGACACTACATCAATTTGATCTGGATACAAGAATATCATATATTATATTATGTACTCTACAAATAAATTAATAGTTGGTAGTGGAAGAAACGGATTATTAATTATGACTCCATAAAGGATATGATTCAACTTGGAAGATTTGAATAGAGAACGAATTAGCAGGGGAAAAATTAGTTATTACAATAACTAAGAGTATATGTCCAAATTTTGTCAAAAAAAAGAAGAATGTGTTTGTATTTATTATTTAAGATAACGTATCTACATTTTTACACAAAAAATATAAAAGGAATAATTTTTAACTAAAGGGTAAAGTCGTGATATAAAAATAAAAAAAGGAATAGTTTTTAAACTAAAGGGTAAAGTCATAATCCAACTTTGAGGTCAGGAGTTTTTCACTTTTAGTATAACTAGTTCTAGATACGTGTGTTGCGCGTGTAATCCATATTAATCTTTCGCAAGAACAATTAAATTATAAGTCAGTTTTTTGACAACCTTATTATCCATAAATTGTGAAGACTTGATTATTATGTAGTTGGAATAAAACAAAATAATGTCATATCACTAAATTAGTGAACAATTATAAAGGAGGCGATAGTTGTCGCATGCCTTTGATCTTGGATTGGATAGAAGGTGAGGTTAAAATTTTAGAAGATAGAATGTTCTTAGTCTAATAGGACTTTTAATTATGTATTACAGATCCAAAATCAATAGATGATTCTTCTCGTTCCTTTATGACTTATTTGCATATCGTAAATTAAATATTATTGAATTAGTCCCCTTTTAAAGTTATCCAACATAGAGAAGTCAAAAGACAAATTATAGAGGCAAGATCATTTCTAAGAAATGATCATTATAAACAAATTAGAGATATTATCAAAGAAAACAAAGTCATAAAGCTTCGACATTTATGATCATTTTGAAATATGTACATAGTGATATCTGCAAGATTCCTACACAACGAATAAGGGATGGGGAGAGGGTGACTGAAAAGGAGGCTCGACCTACAGGGAGAGGGAGGCTCTCGAAACCAAACAAGACTAGAAAGAACATGGGAATAGCACCATTCATATGAGTGCTTTTGTTTTGTCTCTTTGAGACAACAAAACAAAAGGACAACCCTCTCTATATCTCGGTCTCGGTTTAGCATCATATATCGCTGAGCATTTTTTTTGGTTGTAGTGCGGAAGTTGGAGCAACTCCTCTATGCTGTGGGTGTGGAGGGGGGGGAGCTGTCGCCGCCTGATAGAGGCTGAAACGGGGGCCACCAGAGCTATCTGCGTCGAGTGTTTCGGTTGAAAAAGGAAGGGAGACAACTCAAACGCCAACACATAAATAGAAAGAGTCATGCTTCAAAGTGGAATTCTTCTAAGATCCATTGCTCGATTTTGCTGCATGCTCTGCTCCCAAAATGCAGAGAGACTTGCGAAGGTAGATCCGGGTTGGTTGGTACGGAAAGTCATGGGAGAGACAGGCTAAGTAAAATAATATACTGGTGCTATTGATTTAAGAATCTTATGAATCAAGCACGACACACTTTCTATATCTCCTCCGTCTACAAGATGAACAACTTAGCTTAGAGCACAGCGTGTTCGCCACCACACTGGCTGGTTGGTGCATTGGCTTTACCGTAAGAAGTTCGAGAGCGATATATCTCGTGACACGCTCCACGTGGCATTTTTTTAGAAAGTCCGTATAACTTCAAAAGAATCACTCTTTATGAATCAAGTACCATTCAAACAAAGGGTGCATTGCCTCTTTGAGTGAAGAAGAGAGGGGCTTTGTATAGACACTCTTGAGCCATGTTCATCGCCCTAGGCTTACCATTCTTTCATTTCATTCTATTGATTGGCTCTAGCTCCAAAGAACATATACATGGAGCTATGTCGACTTACGTACGTCTTGTTGACTAAATGATCAGGTATACCACGCCACGTATCATCCACTCGGCTTAAGCCGAGGAGAGATAAAAAAAATCAAAGATATGGTGATCGTGCCGTAAGACCTTGTTCCTTTCTACTTGGCGTTCTTTATTTTCCTCGGTTTTTACCCCACGGAGCGGTAGCTTGCTTACTTAGCACTTGCGCTAAGGATCTAATCAGAGTCAAACTTGGATTTGAAAAAAAAAACCTTTCCCTTATTAGCCGGAGTGCAACAGTACTTTTTTTCTTTAGTAAAGGTGGATTAAGCCAAATTTTTTTTTTTTCCCGAACAGTCTCAACGTCCTCGTTGAGAGTCGCTCTGCGAGACGTCTAGTAGTCTCTGACTTGGTCTTCGAATCTTAAGTCTAAGCCCTTTCCCGACTTGCCTCACTCTCAGGTTGGCCTTTCTACTTAACTAAGTAGTATTCCATTCGTGCAGTGGGTGTATGGGCTAGCCCATAGGTGCGGTTAGCTATGATATACTCAACTTCTTCTTTAGTAGGTTTATCTACAACATTTGGTGGTGCCCTCGTGGGCACGTTCCTCTCTGGAGCGGTCTGGTCTAATCGAAGTCAACTCACTCACATGGAATACGGGGTTCGTTTTCACCGAGCTGGTCGCTTGAGTCTATAGGCTACCTTTCCTATCCGCTTTTCTACAAGGTCTACTTTCAAACCGGAGCCAAGTCTTTAAGTTGTTTAAGTAGATTTGGGCTAAGGTCGTTGCACTCCTGCCACCTCTTGGTAAAGTAGGCTGATGGGCAAGCCCCCTCCTGTCGCAATGGTGTTGGGGCATCAGAGGCTGTTACCCCGTGGCCAACTCGAAGGGGCTGAAGTTCGACGCAGAACTTTTTGGTTGTTAAGTTATAGCAGGACTAAGCAACATCCAATAGCTCCAGTCCTTTTGGTTTGCACTAAAGTGGCTTAAGTTGCCCTCGATGAGTTCGTTTATTCTCTCCGTATGAGCTTTCAAAGATATACCGACCTATGACATCTGATGGTCAGATGCCGTATGTCGTCTTCTAACATTACCGACATTTTGGGTTTTCATAAATTTCACATAAGATAAAAGCTCTTTTCATCATCAGAAACAACCAGATTTCCAACCTTTTGCATTGCATTACCATAACGAAAAGAAAAAAAGAATGAAAAAAAAAAATAGATTGCGCTTGTGACTCGGGATGAACCTTTATCGGTGGAGGAAAGGAATAGCGGTGGATTCCTATAGAGGATCCAGGAAAAAACAAATTCAATCGGACGACGAATTCTTATGTGGTCCAAGGAAATCAAAGGTCCGCTTCCACGAATTTCTTCTATATTAAATCTCTTAATATCAGAATAGCTTATATAGTCATGATTCAATTCAGATCCATCTTGATTGATTTCTCATTTTTCGGATCTGATTGTAACAATAGAGAAGTAGGAAGACTTTGGCGATTCATAATAGAAGGGGGTATCTAGAATATCTATGTCCCAGGACGGACATAAAAGATGAATAATGGAAGATAAAGAAGAGTATACTCTGTAGTGAGA